CAAAAGAAAATATTTTGAAGCGTGCCTTAACATACACCCATATAAAAATTTTGTTAGCTGTACAACTATTGAATTAAAAAAGCACTAGATGGCATCAGTTAAAGCTCACCAAACTCTTCCCCAATAATCGTCCGTCTTTCATCCAAACTACTCTGATGTTGTTTGTGTTTTGTTTTGTAATTGTACAGTCTATAATAAAGTCATCTCCATTCGTGCATGTTACGTTCTGAAGAGTTTTACTAAACAACAGAAATTAATTAAATCGTAATGGAAGTGATTTGAAATGTCATAAATTATTACATAAAGCTTAACGAAGATGTTTGTTGATATCTCTCTTTTTCATTATCATACGAAGATAGTTTTTCTATCGAATTTTTTGACGAATCACCAATTTCGTCTTCTTCTGCTAAACTTTCTATGTCTAAAAAGAAAAATCCTATAGCTTAACAAGACAATGAGAAAAAAATTGCTCTTTACGAACGAGCTTTTCCGACGGAGGAAAATTGCTTTCGATGCCCATATTGCTGCTGATATTTCTGCAATAACTGTTTAGTGGAACTTCTCCTCCCACCTTCACCCTTTTCTGTAAAAGGCGATAAAAATTTCTTATTATAGGATAAAACGACCTTGAGAGTTTATATACCTGGGCGAATAACTTCGACATAGCTAACACTACTTATTTTTCCAACGTCATTTGTAATCACGCACTTATAGTCTCCCGTATCCGAATATCGACAATCGTAAATTTCCAAAACGTAGGCATAATCTTCTATAAAAACTTCATATTGCTTCCCGTTAATTTTCATATTATCCTTGAACCATTCTATTTGAGGCTCAGGTGCTGCATCAACAACAATTTGCAGCCTTGCGATACCACCGAAAGATACTCTAACGTCTTGTAAATCTTCAACAATTGTTGGGGGCTGACCATCCGGAAATTCCGCGTCCGACATGATAAAACTAGAACGGTAAACGAAGAATTTTCTTTTCCTGTTCGAACTCTTTAACTTTGTTTCACTTATGAATAGATTTAGCTTGACTTTATCTGACAATTTTTTTTAATTTTAAGATAGAATCTACCTTTAAATGTTTTATTTACGGCGGCTATCGAAGAGATGAAACAGGACGAATTGCTTTTATCAAAATGATTTGTAATAGCATGATGGCCTACGTCAATGTTGACTCGATGTTATTTACGACGATCAAACAAAGGAATTTTAAGAGTGTCAACTTTTTATTACGCGTACCTAAATATGATCGGGTTTTTTTTTTAAGTGTATACCAACAGATCGCTTTTGTTATGACTTACTTTCTTTTCGTATTTCATAAGCAATTTTATCTCCACTAGTCTATCTAAATTCCCCGGAAGCTTTCGGCCGCACAGCGAATTATTATTAAGAACACTAAGATCGTGGGAGGGAGGCACAGAGGGAGTGGGAGTAAAGGTAAGAGACAACTCTCTTTTGTTTATGCGATATTTATGAGCAAATACTTTCCTCTTTCTTTCATATATCACCATCTTATTATTCCTTTTTTAAACTTCGAAAAAATAAGGTCTCTATCAAAAATGACAGTATGTATTAGTTTTATACTCTATGTAAATATCTGAGGAATAAGAGCCACCTTATCAATAAGTTAACGTTATATATTTGCTATATAGTGTTGTGTGAACATTTAAAATTATGATAAGTTCAGGAATTTCTTTTTAATTACTTATAAAAGGGAAGGTTTTTTTTAAAATATACGTAAGATAAATTATTATGTTCGTAACTATTTTTTGCCTGTAACGACTTAAAAAAAATGAGATAGTAATGTGTACAAAGTGTTTATTAGTTGAAATTACCAGGCTAGTCTGACCTCTTTAGTACTCGTATAACATTTTAGCTTATTAATAATTGAAAACGTTTCACATCACTAATACTCATCAGTCCAATTGCTCAAGTTAGTAAAGTTATAGATAAACGCTTTTGGGGGTTTTAGTAATTATGTTGCAAAACTACAAAATGCTTATAATAACATTTTCTTTCCTAATTGTGCATCATATATATTCTTAAGTATTTCTTAAATATATATATTATATATATACAGTATATATATTATATATATATACAGTATATATATATTATATATATACAGTATATATATATTATATATATACAGTATATATAAATTATATATACAACATATATTTAATATATTTAAATGTTAATACTCTTTTCGAAGAAATGTCTTTCCAGGTCAACATTACAATTAAATATCTTTTCTAACAGTTTAAAAACAAAAATCAATATACTGAGTATTAAATTTGCTTCTCTCATAAGAGGCTTTTCTTTCACCTTTTTCTCTATTTGACTACAGAAAGCACTTAAACATTAGTAAGGAAATTGAAATGTTTCTCTAGTAAGTGAATTTCTTAAAAAGAAAAACAAGTTTTAGTTTATATATTATCTTGAATATCTTAGTTATAGCATCTGCCATTCTCTTCTTAACAGCTCTATGGATATGACTCCAACTGTTACCGACGGCAAAGACGATATTTCCGTTTCAATAAAGAAAGTCTTAAATAACGAATGATCAATCTTTGCAGCTTTTTTTTCGTTGTCAACTCGGAAAATATTTTAGAAGTGAACTAATCTAAGTGAAATTGGAAGTCTTAGTTTTCATACGCCTGCGAAAGCAGATATACAAATGACCCAATATTCTAGGTATTACCTTCTTTAACAGATTCGTTTTTTATTCTCAGTAAATTTTGATAAGTTTACGAATAAATAATTAGATAAAAGAAACGACTAAAACGTTAGGTACGATGCAAGATAACGAGATGGAAGGATTATCCTCTAGCCGGTACGAACTGACCTCGTTTACTCTCTTCCATCAATCTCTCTTGAATATCTTCATATAATTTTTGTCTTGCCACTTGTGATAAATAATTTTCCAATTTAGATTCAACATTTTCATTCAGTCTTTTACCCCTCATTGCCGAAAAAGAACGCTATTGAAAAATTAAAACATGAAAAATTAATAATTCTATATAATCTCAAAATGTTATGATGATTTCTAAATTTTCATTCAGTTAGAAGAAAGAATAAGAAAAAAAAACTAGTTAACTTCCAATTAGAGAAGGAAAATAGAGAAAAGTAGTCAAGGTTTTTGTTATTTTGTTTTAGGACAGCTGTAGAACGAAACTAAATAGAATAATGGCTTGGCTTCAGCTTTCAGACTGAATTGTACTCATTGACCTAAACGAGCTAATGCATCATCTTCAATGTTCGTTTTCGTCAAGACAGTTTTGTGTTTTGGTGTTTTCAGTATTTCTTAATTGATAAAGCACAGTTTGTACTAATACTTTTTTTTTATGTTTTCGTTTAAAAAGACATCTTACTAGTCTCTTTCAAATGAGAAGAGACTTAAATTTCTTAATAAATCAAACTTAATCTGATTCATTTTCTAAATATTCGGTTAATCTGAGATTTTTAATTAATATTCATAAGAAATATCTTTAAAAAGGGATTAATACATCTTAATTTCGAAGAGATCTTTGGTCATGAAAAATTAATCATAGGGATCAGAGAGCTTGAAAAACAAATAGATTTTATTCAACAGTTTATTAAATATTTATATCCATCGACAAAAATAACTAAAGTAGTCAAAGCTTCTAAAGACTTTATAAATAACTATCTTTTTAAGTTAAATATTAATTTTTACATTGAACAATTGCAATACAGTAAAGAAACTTTAAGCGTTTTTCTCTGATTGATTTTGGAAAAGAGAGTTTTACCAAACATTTCTGTCCGTGCCCTGATTTAATAAGATCGACTTACCTTTTCTATTCCGACCTTATTAGAGGGGTACTGGAGGCTGATAGTTGATGGAACATCCAATAATATTATCCCAAGAACGAAAACAGCTAAGCAATAAGAGGTGTATTTAGTCATGTTTTTTATCTTTTATTTCTTTCTCCTCCTGAAATAATTTTTTCCGAAAAAGGAATAATTAATTTCATAATTGTTAAATATGTCTATTTAATTCTTAGAAATCGTTTAAAGACTGTAAAAAGAACTTTTAACATATCAGTTTTAAAATAAAATATTCAAATATTTAAACACATGAGGGAAAAAGAGCTATAAAAACCTTTAGCAATAGCTTTTCTCTCTTTAACTATGGTAAGAGAATAGGAAGACGTATCAAAAGTTTATCATAATTTATTATTTGAGAAAAGATGGCGCTGTCAGCTATGAAAACTACCGGGCAAAATTTTTTTCTACACAAACTTATTATATACTGTTTTTTGTGTGTATTATGCACTAAAAACAATGCATATATACGTCTATAAAACAAACAGTATAGTGAAAGATATAAATGTTCTATCTTTGTATTACTAATGCTAATAATCTGTGTAGATTAATAATATATTGTTAACAAAAAGACTCTAAAAAAGACACCGTTTTTATACGCTTGACTAAAAACCGCTTAAAATATTAATTATATTGTCAAAATATAAAAGAAATGTATATTAAAGCTATTGATAAAAAGAGAAAGAATAAAGTATATTTCATAAGTTTACCACTAGACAAATGAATGACTTGAAGTAAAAAAGACTTTGTAATTAGTGCATCAATTGAGAGGTAACAGTCAATATTTTGAGTGTGATGAAGAACTTCTTAAATATATTGAATTTTCTCTTTTCTTTATGATTTATATTCAGTTTAATATTGAAAAGAAGGTGTTGTAATCTAATCAATTGATAATGAGGAAAAAAATTATATTCATTTCTTAGATGATACTTTGCCATATTCCCTTTCTAATTTATAAGACAGATATCTACATCCAAAAACAGTAGATTTTTTGAAAATCTCTTTCAAAGTTCGTTAATAAACTATGAATTTAATGAAGCGACATACTATTCAATTGAAAATATGTTAATTATTCATTTGTTACAGATTGAGAGAAAGCAAAAAAACGACAACAACCTTTAAAAAAACGTTTGCTCGTAAACAACAGAGTAAAAGGGAAAGTAAGCTTGTTTTCAGCCATTATTATAATCATTCAGTTTAATTAGATTACTTAAACCGAAACGAACTATTATCTTTTCAAAAGGCGTTTTAAAAACAAAAGTACGAGAAAAGTAGTCTTGTAGTTTGCTATATAATTGTCAAAAAAAGATATAATTAAGTATTACTTGAATAAAACACATGGGGGAAAATACGAAGGAGACGGAGGAGTAAAACTGTTTAAAAAGAATATTTTATTAGTTTATCTTTCAAGGAAAAATTACAAAAATTATCACTGAAGCATTGAATAACAGCTAATGTAGATATTTCGCCCAAGGTGTTTCCTGTGCGTATGATTTGATATTTACAAAAGTTGGATATAAAAGGATAAGTATTTAGTTGTTTTTATATATTTTTCTGTTGATTTATATACAGTATATGTAAATATTATACAGATATATAGATTCTAATTAGCATTTTTAAATTGATCAAGGAGTTTTGATTTTACACTTTAATTTTGGTTTAATTGTTACTATTTTTAATTATAAAACAATGCTGTATAGTGTAAACAAAGCTTATTAATTAATTGCTGTTTGTCAAGTAATATAGATCATTACTAGTTTTATTTTTACTCACATTTAACATCTATTACTATTACAGAATTGTGTAATATTTGTTTAATAATTTTACTAAAGAATTTTTACGGCTACTGTAAAAACCTTTTAAATAGCAATTTTTGAATAATTCATGTTTTTATTGTCAGTAATATAGTCCATTATTTTATTAACAATTAGAAAATGAGAGAAAGTTAGGAAAAGACACCGGAAGTAGAGCATGCACAAATATGACATTATGTTATTGAAAAATTTGTTCATTACAAAATCTTTCCTTGACCCAGCTACATCCTTCTTAGACTGTTAGTTTTTTTAGTTTATTAACAAGATAATTAATCAAACTTAATTGTTAATTAGCTTTTACCACCATTACATTTTCTCTTTATCAGAAAACTTATAGCCTTTTCCGTGATTATCTCTTTCGTTTAACTTTTTAAAATTAAACTTTCAATCCCACAAAACTACATGTAATGTCTACTACTTACATCTTAATTAGAGAAAAGAGTTATATT